ACTTAGGATGCAGTATAGACTACGGATTAGGGAGGGTAAAGTTGGTGGGAGGGAAGCTGTGACAAGTAATCTAGATGAGATGATGATGATCTGAACTCAGCAGCACTAGGCTTGGAGAGAAGTGGATAAATGCCAAAGATATTTAAGAGGTAGAATTTACACAATTTGATATAGGGGATGAACGTACATGGACGTTCCATATTTCATCAAAGAATCCTTTTTTTTGGCATAACATTTTAAACATATATCAGAATTCCTTTCCACTGAACATATTTTGTAAGACCTAGGTCTGTGGTAAAGGATGTGTGTTTTCACGGGAAAGTACAGGTACATATAATACCGAGTTCCACTTTGGGCAGGAACATTTTGGTGAGAATGCCAACCTTGGGCGTGGAAATCATAAAAAGGGGTCTCCTAAACACTCCACATATCGAGTAGGACAGCTATCTGAAAGTGTTGTGTTCAATATTAATTGAATGTAGCTCTGCCCACAGAACTTCCCGGGTATCTAAAAGTATATTGATGTGTACAAAAAGGCTTTTTTCCTTCACAGCAAGATAAGACATTTCTCAATTCCTGGTGGCCCTGTGAGTCAGAGCCTCACAGTGTGTGTGCTGAGGTTTCAGGTAGTAGAAGGCTTCTTGGTCTTGGGTATACAAGTACTCCCACAGCTCATACGTGAGTTTGGGGTCAGGCCAAATTCAATGAAGACATGAGTAGTTCCATTAACAAATTTACCATTGAAAATAACCCTGTCGTAGCCTTGGCTCCTTGCCTTCCAGAATACTCCTTCACTGGGGTGGATGATCAGGAGAGATGGAGACCTGGCCTTCCCAGAACAGACTGAAGCTGACAAGGTAGGTGCTGTTGTTGAAGTCTGCCTCCATTCATGTCGTGCCTGCTTTTTGAGATGGGGAGCACATCCCAGATCCCAGCCCTCAGGGAATCACCACCAATTTCCTTCCTGCATCCCAAGGGGCCCCTCAACTCCGTTAGGATGTCTAACTGCCCCCCCCTCCCCCCGCCCACTGTGGAGAACGGTGCTGTGCTGTGTGCAGCACTAGGGGTGGTGTTCATGCGGGTGAGAGATCTGGGTGGGGTCAGCGGGTCTGGTTTCTCTCTGATTCCCTTTATTCTTTGCTCAGTCTCTGTTGGTGACTTTAACGGGATCAGTGATAGTTCAGGGTATAAGGATTTCATTGAAGTGTTCCATTGATAGAATGAGATCGGTAGGTTTAGACCAGACCCAAGCTGACATTACCAGGTATGTGACATAATGAAATGAACCTCTTCAAGTCATTTTAGTTATGAATTGTAATGTTTATTTGCGTATTATCATCAGTATTATTTAAACTGATAATTTTGAAAGACATGTAAATAACTTAAAAATTTATTTTCAACTTTAGTTGATATACAATGTTATATTTCTGTCAGGTATATGACATAGCGATTTGCCATTTCTGTACATTACAAAACGTTCACCACAGTCAATGTAACCATGTGTCACTATACAAAGTTGTTATACTATTATTTATAAATGGAAGATGGTACTTCTTAATCCCCTTTATGTGTTATGCTTATCCCTACTCTGCTCTCTCCTCAGGCAACCAATAGTTCTGAGTCGATTTCTGTTTTTCTTTATTTGTTTGTATTTTAGATTCCACATATAAATGAAATCATACGGTATTTGCCTTAATTCACTTAGCATAATATCCTCTAGTTCCATCCATGTTGATGCAAATGGCAATATTCGATTCTTTTTCATGGCTGAGTAATCTTCTATTTTGTATGTACCTTGTATCTTCTTTATCCATTCTTCAATTGATGGACACTTAGCCATATCTTGGCTCATGTAAGTAATGTTTCAGTAAACATAAGAGTGCATATGTCTTTCTGAATGAGGGTTTTCATTTTCTACAGGTAAATACCCAGAAGTACAGTTACTGGATGGCTTGTTTATGTTTTTTTAAAGCTTATTTGAGAGAGAGGGTACAAATGGTGGGAGAGGCAAGACAGCTCCACAGTGACACCCGTGAGCCTGATGCAGTGCCCACACCCATAAATTGCGAGATCATGACCTATGCCGAGTCAGATGCTCAACCGACTGAGCCACTCAGGTGACCCAAGGTATTACTATTTTTAACCTTCAAGGAATCTTCCTATTGTTTTTGCCTACAGGATGCATTTATATTCCCACCAATAGTGCACTAGAGTTCCTTTTTCTCCACATATTTGCTAACACTTGTTATTTCTTGTCTTGGTGCCATTCTGACAGCTGTGAGGTGATAGCTCATTGTGCTTTTGATTTGCATTTCTCCGATGATGAGTGATGTTGAGCATCTTTTCATGTGTCTGATGGTCATGTGTATGACTTATTTGAAAAATGACTATTCAGGTCCTCTGCCCATTTTTTAAATAAGGTTAGTATTATTTTTGGTGTTGAGTTGTGTGAGTTCTTTATATATTTTGAATATTAATACCTTATTGGATATATCATTTGTTAATATCGTCTCCCATTGAATAGGTTGCCTTTTCATTTTGTTGAAAATTCCCCTCACTGGGCAAAATCTTTTGGTTTGACATAGTTGCAGTAGTTCATTTTTGCTGTGTTTCCCTTACCTGAGGAGATGTCCATAAAATGTTGCTAAGGCTAGGGTCCAGGTTATTCTTTAAGTGTTTTATGGTTTCAGATCTTCCATTTTGAGTTTATGGTGTAAGAAAGTGGTCCAGTTTTTGCAACACTATTTATTGAAGAGACTATGTTTTTTCCTTTGTATGTTCTTGCCTCTTCTGTCATATATTAATTGACCATAAATGTGTAGATTCTTGGAATCTCTACCCTGTTCCCTTGATACGTGTTGATATTTTTGACTACTGTAGCTTTGTAGTATATATTTAAATCTGGGATTCTGAGATCTCTCATTTTGTTCTTTTTCAAAATTGCTTTTGCAATTTGGGGACTTTTATAATTCCATGAGTATTTTAGGATTGTATGTTCTAGTTCTGTGGGAAAAGAAACTGTTGGTATTTTGATCAGGACTGCATGGAACCTGTAGATTGCTTTGGGTAGAATGCACAGTTTAACAATATTCCTCCAATCCATGAGCATGGTTTCCTTCCTCTAGGTCTTCCACCAACTTGGTTATATTTATTCCTAGGTTTTTTATTCTTTTTAATGCAATTTTAAGTGGGATTATATTCTTAATTTTGTATCCTGAATTTTGATAAATTCATTAGTTTTAACAGTGTGTTGAAATCTTTAGGTTTCATGGTATATGGTGTCATGTCATCTAGAAATAGTAACAGTTTTGCATCTTCCTTACCAATTTTAGATAACTTTCTTTCTTAGTCTTCTCCAATTGCTGCAGCTAGTACTTCTAGTAGTATGTTGAACACAAGAGATGAAGCTGGACATCCTTTTCTTGTTCCTGATCTTAGAAGAAAGGCTTTAGTTTTTCATCACTGAGTATGATGTTGGCTGAGGATGTGTCATGTACTGCCTTTCTTATGTTGAGGTATATTCCCTCTACACATACTTTGTTAAGAGTTTTTATCATAAATGAATGCTGAATTTTGTCAAGTGCTTTATATGGTTTCAGGAGTAGAATCCAGTGACTGATCTCTTCCATATGATACCTAGTGCTCATCCTGAAAAGTGCCCATGGTAATGCCCACCACCCATTTAACCCACCCTCCCTTCCAGCAACCCTCTGTTTGTTCTCTATATTTAAGAGTCTTATGGTTTGCCTCCCTGTTTTTATCTTATTCTTACTACCCTTCCCACATGTTCATCTGTGGAGTTTCTCAAATTCCACATATGAGTGAAATCATATGATAATCTTTCTCTGACTTATTTTGCTTAGCATAATACCCTCCAGTTCCATCCACGTTGTTGTAAATGGCAAGACTTCTTTTTCATCATTTGTCCTTGTGTGTGTGTAATATATATGTGTATATACGTATATTACATCTTCTTAATCCATCACTTGATGGACATTTGGGCTCTCACCATAATTTGGATAGTGCTATGAACATTGGCATGAGTGTGCCCCTTCAAATCAGTGTTTTGTATCCTTTGGATGAATGCCTAGTAGTGCAATTGCTGGGAACAACACTAAAAGGCAACCAATGGAATTGGAGAAGATATTTGCAAATGCCACATTGGATAAAGGGTTAGTAACCAAAATCTATAAAGGTCTTACCAAACTCAACACCCCCAAAGCCCAAATAATCCAGTTAAGTGATGGGCAGAAGACATGAATGGACATTTCCAGATGGCAAACAGACCTATAAAACATGCTTAATATCACTCATCATCAGAGAAATACAAATCAAAACCAATTCTGACCACCTCACACTGGTCAGAATGGCTACAATTAACAACTCAGGGAACAGCAGAGAGAGGGGAACCCTTGTGCACTGTTGATGGGAATGCAAACTGGTGCAGCCACTCTGGAAAACAGTCTGAGGTTTCCTCAAAAAATTAAAAAAGTGACCTCTTTTAATGTCCATGACTCATTTAGCCCATCCTTCCCCCCCACCTCCCCTCCAGCAACCCTCAGTTTATTCTGTTTGTTTGTTTATTTATTTTTAACGTTTATTTTATTTTTGGGACAGAGAGAGACAGAGCATGAACGGGGGAGGGGCAGAGAGAGAGGGAGACACAGAATCAGAAACAGGCTCCAGGCTCTGAGCCATCAGCCCAGAGCCCGACGCGGGGCTCGAACTCACGGACCGCGAGATCGTGACCTGGCTGAAGTCGGACGCTTAACCGACTGCGCCACCCAGGCGCCCCTATTCTGTATATTTAAAAGACTCTTCTGGTGTGCCTCTCTCTCTGTTATTATTTTTCCTTCCCTTCCCGTATGTTCATCTGTTGTTTTTAAATTCCACAAATGAGTGAAATCATCTGTTATTTGTCTTTCTCTGCCTGACTTATTTTGCTTAGCATAATACTTTGTAGTTCCATCCACATTGTTGCAAATGGTAAGAGTTCAAATAATGAACTCTGTTTTAAAGTATTTATTTCATTGGTTTTTTTCCTTTTATTAATTTTGGGTGTGTTTTTTAGTTTTTCTGACTCCATTAAGTGTTGCTTCTGATGTCTATTGTCATATATGTCCCTCTAGGAACTGCTTTTGTGTCTCAAAGATTTTTGACCATGATATTTCCAGTTTTATTTGTGTCCTCATGTTTAAGTTCCTTCTTGTTTTCTCCATTAATTAACCCATTGGTTGTTTAGTAGTATGTTGTTTCACATCCATGTTTTCTTGTTTTTCTAGTTTTATTTTTGTAATGGATTTCTAGTTTCATACCATTGTGTTTGGAAAAGATCAATCTTTTTGAATTTATTTAAATTTGTGTTCTTACATGTGATGTATCCTGGAGAGTGTTTCATGTGCATATAAAGAACGTGTGTTCTGCTATTTGTGGATGGCATGTTATGTGTATATTTTAAGTTCATTTGGTCTAATGTATCATTTAAAGCCACTCTTTCTTATTGACTGTCTGTGTGGATGATCTTTCTATTGCTGTAAGTGGGGTGTTCAAGTTTCCTACTATCAGTGTATTATTGTCAATTTCTCCCCTATGTCTGTTAATATTTTTTTTTATATATTCAGGTGCGCCTATGGTAAGTGCACAGATATTTACAATTGTTGTATCCTCTTGCTTATCACTTATTATTCATTGCCCTTGTATATTGCTATAGTATTTTTCTTAGTTTATTATGTCCGATAGAAGTATAGTTACACTGGCTTTCCCCCCCCCCCCCCCCCCGCTTCTATTTGCATGGAACATCTTTATATATTCCTTAACTTTCAGTTTGTATGTGTCTTTAGGTCTGAAGTGGGTCTCTTGTAAACAACATATAGGTGGATCTTTTGTTTTCTTTTTGAAATCCATTCAGTCTGTCTATTTTGATTGGAACATTCAGTCCATTTAATTTAAGGTAATTATTTAATATATATGTGCTTGTTCCCATTTTGTTAATTTTATTAATTTTATTTTCCTTTTTTCTTCTCTTTCTTCCCTTGTGATTCCTTTCTTTTATAGTTTGATTTGTGGTTACCATGATGTTCATATATAACATCCTATGCATATAGCACTTCATGTAAAGGTGACTGTTGCTTAAGTTTGAACACATTCTAAAAGAATTATGTTTTTACTCCCTCTTCCATGTATATGAAATATTTCCTATCTTTTTTGTATCTCTTAACTAACTGTATATAAAATTGATATTAGTATTTTTGTAAGTTTTTGGTCTGCTTTTTCTCTATGGGCTCTTTTTCCTTTCAAAGAAGTCTAATATGTCTTATATGGCCATTTTAGTGGTGATACACTCTACCTTTTGTTCATCTGGAAACTTCTTTATGTCTTCTTCAATTCTGAATGCTAACCTTGCTGGTTTCAGTATACTTGGTTGTAGGTTTTTTCCTTTCAGTACTTCAAATCTACCATACCACTGCATTCTGGCCTGCAAAGTTTCTGCTCAAGAATCAACTTAAAGCTTAAAATGGGTTTTCTTGCAAGTAAGCAATTGCTTTTCTTTTGCTCCTTTAAAAATTCTCTTTAATTTTTATGTCATAATTAGTATCTGTCCTGATGTGGGCCCTTTTGGGTTCACACTGGAGCTCTCTGTCGATCCTGGAGCTTGATGTCTGTTTCATTCCCCAGTGTAGGGAAATTTTCAGTGATTATTTCTTTAAGTTTTCTATGTGAATGGCATTATCCTTGATGTTGTCCTAGAGGTTTCTTCTTTTAGATCACTGATCTGTCCTGCATCTTGTTATCTGCTATTGATTCTCTGTACTATATTTTTCATTTCAGTCGTTGTACTTTACAGCTCTGATTGGTTATATTTTCTGCTTCCTTGCTGAAGTTTTCAAGCTGCTCATCCACTCTTCTCTCAAGTATGGTGGTCATCTTCATGACTATTGCTTTGAACTCTTGATCAGGTAGGTCACTTATCTCCATATTGTTAATTCTTTTTCCTCACTTTGTCTGACTCTGTTTGTCTCTATGTATTAGGTCAGCTACGTCTCCTGGTCTTAAAGTTACTGGCCCTATAGAGAAGAAATCTTGGGGTTTCCTTTAGTGCAGTACTTACTGTTTAGTAGAACCAGATGTTCCAGTGGTGTCTCCTATGTTTGCAGCTGGGTGAAAGTCCTGGGTACAACTTGCCACGGGTTTGGTGGTAAGCAGGGCCGCCTCCTTCTCTCACTAGGGCAAGACTTGCTTTGGAGTGGTGCTGGTTCTGGACCGGGTTGACCACAAGGCATGGCAGGGTAATAGTCGCTATACAGGAACACCTGCAATGGTAAGTCCACAGGATAGATGGCGAATGACCAACTGGCACCTACCTGTGTCAGGCCAGCTAGGCTCAAGAGGGGCAAGAAAAGTGGTACCTGCCAGCACTTCTGTACCTGGAGATAGTTCCTGCCCCCCTGGCACATGTCCTAGTCTATAAATGTCCTACATGTGTAGCTTGGGCACTTTTCAAACTGCTGCCTCTGTGGTCTCATTGTACTTGAGCCCTTTAAGGGTGTATCCCTCTTTCTGATAGCCCTCCACTCTTACTGAAGTGAACCCCCTGCTTATTTTCAAAGCCTGATGTTATGGGGCTCATCGAGCCAATGCAGATCCCTGTGACTGAGCGTGCCCAATGAGGGACTTCAAACCCTCATCCTTCAGGGAGGACCTCCACCCCTGTGATATCCTTCCTGCTGGTTGGTCACTGAGGGTTTTGTCAGGACTACATCTCTGCCCATCGTACCTTTCTAGATGTAGCTTTCTCTTCGTATCTTTAATTGTGGAAAAGCTGTCCTGTCAGTCTTCGGGTTGTTCTCAGAATGAGGTGTACTGTATGCCATTGCAGCCTTGTGTCTGCAGGAGGAATTGAGCTCAGATTCTTCACTTCTCCTCTTGACCAGTAAAAGACTATTAGACATAGGTAAAAAAAAAACTAGATTGAGGTAGAACTAACAGAACTTAGTTATGGCAGGATAGGAGTTGTATAAGTAAAGGAAGAGTAAATGCACCTGAGTCAATTAATTATTCATCAGTATTCTCTGCGGTATATATTTTAACTTCCATATTTTATGGAAGGCTTGAACAGTTGTGGGTAAATATATTGAATCTAAAAGATTATTGGTCTGGCAGATGGCAGAGCGAGAGGATCCTGAGCTCCCTTCCTCCCAGGGACACACTGAGACAATAACTACATACAATGCAACTCACTCTGAAAATGATCTGTGACTGGCAGAATAGATCTCCACAACTGAAGGTATAAAGAGAAGGTCACGTTGACAAGAATAGGAGGGGGAGGGAGGTGGTCGTGAACCAAACTCCCAATGTGGTGACCCCTTGCAGTAGAAATATCACAGGTGTGCAGTTACTCCCTGAAGAACAAGGGGATCAAGCTCCACATTAGGTGCCCACAGCCCTGGAAAGCTTTCACTAAAAAGAGAAGCACCCATAATGTCTGGCTTTGGCAGATCCTGAGGGGGCTATAGGAAATAAAGACTCCTCTTTTAAAGGACAAGCACACTCTATCTCTTGCACAGAAGCAGCACTTTGAAACATGTCTGGATTATATGTGAAGGAGGCTCACTAATTTTAGGGCGTGTGCTGGAGGGGCAGAAATCTGTAGGAGCTTTTTTGGGAGTATCAGGGGGTGCCATTTTTCTTGCCTTCCTTCAGCCTAGCCTTGCAGGAGGCAGTTCAGGCACTTTCCATCTACCTTGCTACTAGTTCTCACCCCACCCTGGTATTTTTGTGCAGATCTACATCACCGAAGCTGCCCCCCACTGCAGGTGTCCCTTCATAATAACTCCTGCCATAGTGGCGGGGGAAAGGAGCCAGCTATGCTGGGAGCTAACCCCACCTCCTGGCAAGCTGATAGCCATGACTACTGGGGGCATGCTGGGGGGCTAGATTGGTTGCCTAGGGGGCTGGCTGGCAGCCACCCCCCAATAGTTGCTGAATTACAACAGGAGGGCACATGCAGCCCATGCAGGAGTCACCCCTGGTGAACAAAAACTTCTGAGCCTCCCAGGACATTTTCTACAGAAGGCTGCTACTTTCAAGAACAGGAAATAGAGCTGACCTACCTAATACAGAGAGGCAGACGAAATGGCTTCAAACAAACAACTGAGGTAATCTACCTGAGAAAGAATTCAAAATAACCGTCAAAAAGATGCTCACAGAACTCGAGTGAGAGGGTATCGAGGAGGGCACCTTTTGGGATGAGCACTGGGTGTTGTATGGAAACCAATTTGACAATAAATTTCATATATAAATTAAAAAAAAAAAGAAAAACCCAACCCATCAGAGCAGAATAGAATAACAACTGAAACAAAAATACAGTAGAAGGAATCAACAGATTAGAGGATGAAGAATGGATCAGTGATCTAGAAGACAGGAAATTGCCCAAGCTGAATAACAAAAAGAAAACAATGGGAATAGGTTCAGGGATCTGGGACAGCATCAAGTATAGTAGCGTTCACATTACAGACCCCTCTCGAGAAAGAGAGGGGCATACAATTTACTTGAAAACCTGGGCAATGAAACACATATGAAGGACCAGAAAACTCAACAAGATGAACACAAAGATGTCCACACAAAGACACATAATAATTAAAGTGTCAAAAAACAAAAAAAGGTGAAGGGAGATGTTAAAAAGAGCAAAACAACAAACTACTTACAGAGAGCCCTAGAAGGGATTCAACAGAAATGTTTCAGACCCGACTAGACTGACCTGGTATATATAACATGATGAAAATACCTACAAGCAAAAATACTCTAACCAGCAAAATGATTCAGAATTGTAGGAAAGTTTATCACCATTAAACTGACCTTACAAGAATTAGTAATGACACTTTTCAAAGGGGAAAATAAAGGGCCATAAGTACAGTAAGAAAATTATGACAAAAATATTTCACTGGCAAAAGGAAACATAATGAAGATAGATCAATAACATATGAATGTTGATAGCATGAAATATCCATAATAACTAGCTAAGAGCTCCAGAAAATAAGATGTGAAATATATATTAAACTTTCAGAGACATAGAAAAATATAGTGCTTTTAAGTTGAAACACATTTTAAGTGGCCATCCACTTAAAATGGATTGCTATACACTTAGGGGCTATATATGAACTGTATTATAAACATAAAAGCTTCTAATAGATATAGAATAAAGAAAAAGGAATCCATAATAATAAAGCCTTCAAATCACAAGGGAAGGAAGCAAGAGAAGGACCAGAGAAGAGCTACAAAAATAAGGAGACGACAATTAACAAAAAAGCAGGAAGTTCATACCTATCAGTAACTAATGTAAATGGACTAAATGTTCCAATCAAAAGACAAAGGGAGACTAAAGAGATTAAAAAATAAAAACCAAAACCCAAAGACCCATTTATATGCTGCCTACAAGAAGCTCATTTCAGTCTTAAAGACATACAGAAAGAAAGTGAAGGAATGGAAAAATATATTCGAGGCAAATGGAAACAAAAAGTCAGGGTAGCAATATTAATAGACAAAATAGACTTTAAAACAAAGACTGTAACAAGAGGTAGAAGAAAATTACATAATGATAAAGGGATCAATTCAACAAGAGTATAAATAGTTGTAAATATTTATGCACCAAACATGGACTCACCTAAATATATAAAGTGATATTACAGACATAAAAGGAGAAATTGACCAGAATACAACAATAGTCAGGTACTATAACACCCCAGCATCAATGGATAGATCATCAAGGCAGCAAGTCAATTAAAAACAACACTGACTTTGAATGACACATTAGACCAGATACACTTAACAAGTATATACAAACCATTCCAATCCCCACACAGCAGAGTACAGTTTTCAAATGCATATGGAACAATTCTCTAGGATAGATCACATGTTAGGCTACAAAGTAATTCTCAGTAAATTCAAGAAGATAAACCATTGGCCAGATTCATCAGGGAAAAAGAGGACTTAAATCAGAAGTTAAAGAGGACTCTAAAGGACTACTATGAAAAACTACATGCTGAGAAACTGGAATAAATGGAAAAATTTCTAGAAAAATAAAATTTTCCAAGACTCAATCCGGAAGAAATAGACAATCAGAACAGACTGGTTACTAGTAACAGAATTGAATCAGTAATCCAAAAATCTCCCCAAAAAACAAAAGTCCAAGACCAGATGGCTTCACAGACTAATGCTACCAAATATTTAAGAAGGGTTAATACTTATTCTTTACAAAATGTTCCACAAACTTAAAGAGGAAGGAATTTTCCAAATTTATTCTGTGATGCCAAATTTATTCTCTGATACCACAGCTAAAGACACTATAAAAAAAAATCCGCCAAACTACATAATATCCCTAATAAACATAGATGCCAAAATTCTCAGCAAGTAATTGAGTCCAGTAGTATATTAAAAGCATCATTCATCATGAACAAGTTGGATTTACTCCAGGGATGCAAGGATGAGTTAACATCCAAAATTGATCCATGTAATATACCACATTAACAACAACAAAAACATTAAAAATTATATGATCTCAACAGATGGAGAAAAAGCATTTGACAAAATTCAACTTGTGTTCACAATAAGAACTCTCAACTAGGTGGATGTCGAGAGTACGTACCTCAACATAATGAAGGTCATATAGACACACCCACATCTAACATCATAATCAGTGGTAAAAACGTGAAAGCTTTTCCTCTAAGATCTGGAACAAGACACACCTGTCCACTTTCACCACTTCTATTGGAAGTTCTAGCATCAACAATCAGAAAAGAAAAAGAAATAAAATACATCCAAATTGGTAAGGAAGAAGTAAAACCTTAACTAATTCCAGATGACATATGACTGTGTAGAGGAAATAGACCCTGTGAAAAAAAAAAGAAAAAAGCCCAAACAGAATAAATGAATTCATTAAAGTTGCAGGGCAGACAATTACATAAATCTTTACATTTCTGTACACTAATAACAAACCAGAAGAAAAAAAAGTTAACACACATAAAGCCTAACCAAAATATGTCTCCACTGCACCCCAGCAACAATCAATAAAATCCTTGTGGCTGGTAGAAAACAGTAGAGCAAACCAAAAGGGACAAAAACAAACAAACAAACAAAAACCCAGGGAGATGAGATGTTATAAAAAATAAAGCTTAAAGGAACCCAAGAGTCAACCTCTGACAAGATCAGTGAAGAAATAGAGATGCAAATAAATAAAACCCCAAACAAGAATCTTTTCATGTACTTTTGGAAAATTTTAAAAACCTTAATTTGCACAAAAGGGAATAGAAAAATTGGATAGAGAATAACCATTCAATACACAAATAATAATCACAATAATAATAATGTAATTGTGATAATGATAAACATGTTACCATTTTCCGCACTTCTAGAAGTCACAGGCTGAGATTGTTTTATCAGTGGGTGCAGATATCCCTAGGTTACATAATGAGAAAAAATTGTCCAATTAATATTATGAGTTAGAAATATGTTTTATGCTAAGACTTCACAAGCACAATATAAGAAAAATATAGGCCTATTTCCTTCCCTTCTGACTATGTTGAACATGGCTTTAAGATTCTTTTATATCAATGTAGATACAGATGTAGCCTGAGTGTGTATGTGTGTTTATTCATCATGGTCAATTATGTATTAATTTAGGATTAACAAATGGCCCCAGAGAGAAAGATCTTACAGTGTAATTTATTCTTAGTGGTTTAAAGACAAACATTTCATGTTTTTTACTGTTCTCAAATTAGGAGTACAGTTGCCAAAATAACATTTGCTCTATTTCGAAACTAATGTAACATTAAAATTCAATTTAAAAAGTTAAATACTTTTAAAAAATTAAAAATAATGTTTATTTTTGAGAGACAGAGTGTGAGTGGGGTAGGGGAGGGGAAGAGAGAGGGAGACACGGAATCTGAAGCAGGCTCTGA